TTTACTTGTGCTCTGAGGCACTCGCGGGTTTTTGCGTACAATGATCAGCAGGTGAGGGGCAGAAAGAAGTCAGGCGAGACCTGCTTTTAATGTGTTGCTCATGCAATGACCATAGATGGACACTCATGTCCCAGCAAGCAAGGTGGTGTAGGTCGCAAATAGTCACAGATTTATGGAGCCATTGCCCTGGGCTGACTGGCACACACTGGCCCCCTTTCCTGTCCTCTAGTGACACTCCATGTAGAGTACTGTGACATCTGTGGGTTCACACCTCCTGCCCCTTGATGGTGAGGGACAGCCTCTCTCTTGGTATTCGCTGAAACCATTCAGGCTTTTGGGATCCACAGCACCTGTGCCTAAAACTTACAGGAGAAAGTCCATGCAACGTGAACCCCCATGGATGTCAGCTCAGATCGGGAGTGTCCTTGAGGGGACGGGGAAGGTGGCATTCCTCCTGCTTTTCTTTTTGGAGAAAAACAAATGGTGGATTTGAAGGCTTGAGGCTGGGGTCCCCTTGAGGAGTTCGATGCTGGTTTCAGAAGGGCCTTTGGTATTCTTCATTGAGAATTCCCTTCGCTCTGTCCACAGGCTCTTGCAATGGTGAGGCTGGTGTTTCAGCCCAGGGGGGTCACCCTGTTAGTTCTGATGGCTGCAAATGACAAATGTCAAGACACCTCTCTGTGTGCCTTCCTTGGGAAGGTCACAAATCTTCCTAAGAAGTGTCTGTCCATTTTATCACTTCCAAATAAGGGTGTCAGCAATCTAGGTCATTTTTAAAAATAGGATTATTTATTTTTTCTCTTCTTAGAAGCCCTGTTCCAACTGAATGAGACGTCAGTCTTTCCACTCAGCACTGCCCTACTTCAGGGACCCCCAGTACTGGGTGATTGCTTGCTACGCAGTCTCCCCCCAAGATGTAGGTGTCCCAGAATAAAGAGCAGAAAGTAGGAAAGAAAGCAAAAGGGAGCTTTCCTTTCAGACCATAGCTGGGCAGACAGGGACTTACCTTGAGCCCTGCTCTCCCAGGGAGTAGTGGGCTTTTTAGGACCACCTTAAAGCTCATTAACCTTTCATCTGTCCTCCTGACTCTGAACTGCTAGTCCCCTCTGAGCCTCTGAAAAAACTAGCCCACAGCCAAGGAAGGGACCAAAGCAGAAACACAGGGCGATGGAGAAGTGGAGACCACGTGTTTGCCCGACATGGCCCTGGCTGTCTATGGGGTGCTGGTCTCGAGGTCCTTAATGATGCCAGAAGCCACTCCCCTCATGTGTGGCATGGAAGAAAGGACACCCAAACTAATCAAGGGCCCAAGGGAGTTTCCAGGATACATGGGTTTGTGTGGCCTGGAGGAAAGGACACCCAAACTAATCAAGGGCCCAGGGGAGTTTCCAGGATGCATGGGTTTGTATGGCCTGGAGGACTGAGTTTTCTGTGAGGTGAGATGTTGACAGGACATAGGGTATGCAGAACCCATGAGGAGAGATTTCATCTCAAGGCAGCTGACTGAGCACCAGCCAGCCCTCCCTCCCACCATCCGCTGGCTCGAGCAGCTAGGAGGGCGAACTGTGTGAGCACGCTCTTGCCTCCTGGAATTGGCTGTCCCTGCCTGTCCTGAGGAAGGTGGGGTCTGTGGCCAGGAAGGAGCAAAGGGAGCCTGCTCAGAACAGACCTCCTGTGCCACCCCCAACCCCCTAACCCACACTTGGAGAAAAGGCTCCTTTGGGGTGTCAGCACGCCCTTGAAATGTTGCAGAACACTGTGTGGAGGTGCATTTTTTCTGGTGAGCATCCATAGTTTTCATCAGCTTTCCTGACATCCCCACCCTCCAAAAAAAGCAAAGAAGCACTGATTTAGAAGAGGCTGCTTCTGACCTTCATTAGCAGGATTTGATCTGAGAGAGGAAAAGCTACAGGGACATAAAAAGGCTTCGTGTGACCTTGGATCCAAATGTACACAGAGGCCCTTCCTTTGCAGATGCCTGAACTCCCCTCTCAGGCCTGTTTTCAACCCTGTTGCTTTCACTGTATCAGAGAGTCCAACACAGAATACAGTGTCTTACACATAGCAGACACTTGATAAATTCTTGTTTAAAAAATGTGGACTCTAGTATGACTGATGCCAAGAATAATCAAAGGGTTGCCTCTCAGTCCCCCATACTACATGGAGACCCGTGGCCATTGTGGTCATCGTTGTGTGGCTGTGGCCGGCCAGCTCCCTGCAGCCCACACACCTGTCTCTCCCTCACTCCTTTCAGCCATCCCGCCCCACCTCATACCGGCACAGCTCTGTCTTCCTTCTGGCGATGAAGACTTTTACTGCCCTTCCCTCTGCTGGTTTGGTTTCCTCTTCACTGTTGGCTCAGACAGTTACCTCTGGCAAAAGGAAGGCTCCCAGGCTCGAGGGATTGGGACAAGGTCTGACGTGCAGAGACCTCTGGCCTGCCTCTCCTAGCAGCTGCTGTTTTGCTGGATATTTTAGTAGTTCAGCCACTGGAAAAATCCTCCAACACACAACCAGGAAGGTTGTACAGCTGTAGGCTCTATTTTTAACAATTGCCAAGTTCCGGAAACCCCCATTCCCATCACAGAATGCCACAGACTCTGGGTTTCCTTCCTGCTCCTCAACTCCTCTTGCCTTCAGTGACTCCATGGTGCCAGGTTTGCACAGTCCTGCCTGGTCTGGCCCTTGCTCACTTCAGGCTCCTATGGCCACTCTTCTCTTGTGCTTCTGGAATGCTGCATACAAATTGCATTTACCACCCTGTATTGCAGCTGCTTCTTAATTATCTGTCTCCCGTACTGGCAAGGGCTTCCTATTTACAGCACAGTGCTAGCACATATTAAGTTCATTCATTCACTCAACAAACATTTACTAAGTACCTACTATGTGCAAGGCACTTTTCTAGGCATGTGGGATACACCAGTGAACAAACAGATCAGAACCGCCTGGGCGCATGGAGTCTTCATTCCAGAATGGAAGACCAACAATAAATAATAAATGGAATAAATAAGTAAGTTATACAGTTATAAGATGATGAGTGCTACGGAGAAAATACAGCAGAGAATGTGGGAATGGGAACACATAATAAACTCATGTTAAATTGAATTTAATACATTCATTAGTGTTAATACATTAATTGGTAAGTGGACTTATGTAGGGAACTCTTCTCTTCCTCATTAACTCAGTTCAGACCAACAATCATCAGGCACAATTTTTGTGCTATGCACTATGACTACATTTGGTGGATTTCTCAAACCAAAATAGTAATACCAAACAAATATTGACGCATTTGTAAAGAACATATTTGGATGTAACACGTCAGTCAGACTTGGTAGGTCGCTCTACCTCTCAGTCTTTTTTATTTGAAGTGCACAGAAAACGTGATATTTATGCAGCATACTTAGGTAAATGGATAAGGTTGCTCAGTGCTCTCCGAGGGCTGAGGGCATTAATACCCAACACACCTGAAACTCATTGGAGGCACCCAAGGTAGAAATTACAGCAGTGGTCATCAAACTTCAGCACACCTTAGCATCACCTGGGGTGATTAATATGCAGATTTATGTCATGCTGAGATCTTGGGGGGAGGCCCCAGAATCTGCTTTGTTAACAGTTACCCAAATAATTCTGATGCTGGTGGTCTTCGGACCACACTTTGAGGAACACCCCTGTACCACATCCCAGAGGTACGTGGTGACTCACTGTACAATGTGTTGTGTCATTGTGGTTGAAGTCAGGAGCTGTGGAGAGAATGATGTAGACTGGTGGTTCTCAAACACGCATCAGAAGCACCTGCATGGCTTGAGGGTGGGGCCTGAGGATGTGTGTGTGAACAGGTTCCTGGATGCTGCCAGTCCCCTGATGTAAATCATTCAGGAAGCTAATATGCCTTAGGGATTTGGGTTTCTGTGAGCTAATTTCACAAGGGCAGAGTTGGGGTTCATTTTTAAGAAGCTAGGACTAAACCATGTTTAATCTAGTCAGAAAGCAACAGAAGAAATGGATTGAGAAACAATCAGAATAAATGTCCTCTTTGATAAAAACAGTGCTCGGTGACCTATCTTCACATCCACGCTCTAGCCGGTGGTGAGCTAGCAAGTGCTTAACAGTCACTCCTTAGGGACCAGGGGTAGAGTCTGATTGGCATTGTTTGCCCATTTCTGTGGTGTAAATACTCTCACATGGCCAATTTGAAGCCACCAATGTTGCTGAACATGTGGGGAGGTCCGCACAGCACTCAGGGGCCAGCTCCAGCACAGCACTGCCCCATCTACTGTAGTGTTTGCCACTCTCCACAAGTGTCCGCATCATTCCATTAGTCACAGGTCATAGTTTCCAGGTCAAGGCTGGTTTCCCTCTAGGCTGTAGTTGCAGGCACAGGAACCCTTCTCTGAATACATAAACCAAAAGGACTGCCTTTCCTGGCCTGGCCTGCAGTGCTCGTGCAGCCCTGGGGTTTAACTCCAAATTCCGCGCATGCCCAGGGCCCAGGTGGCAAGCCTTTTTGAAGATGCCTTTCCTCACACTCTCTCTTCAGTTTCAGTTCTCCAGCTCCGTCAGTAAGAGTTGACGCGCTTCAGACACCACAGTCAGGGTGCCTCAGGGTGAATGGAAGATTGAATGGCCACATAAACCCAGCTGAGCTAAAACCATCCCATGCTGAAGAAATTATTTTGGGGGTGACCCAACATCTTAAACAAGTGAATAGAAAGCACTGGAGAAATTTTTCTTTTCCAGAAAATAAAAACAACAGAGAGAGCCTGACAAGGTTCCTCTTGAGGCAGAGCCTGCAGAGGTCCTTTACAGTTCAGATCAAGGTCATGGGGAGGTGTTTTAAATGTAGATGATGCCAAGGGTAACAGTGGATCCTGATCCACATGAATGAAAACCAGTCTCAGCCCGTCTGTCCCCTTCAGTCTGTTCACACACCTTTCTGCCTGCCTCTTTGCTTTAACCCAGTTCTGCTTCCTCTTTCTCCTAACTTTCCTTCATCTTTGCAGATGCAGGACGCTATGGGCTATGAGTTACCCTGGGTGTATTTTGTCAGTCTGGTCATCTTTGGATCCTTTTTCGTTCTAAATCTGGTTCTCGGTGTGTTGAGCGGGTAAGCTGACCATTTCTACATCTCTTTACGATGCAGCCAGGCAAGGTCCCAGGTTCCACTCCATCCAGGGCCAGGATCCTCAGGGAGGGACCCTAACAGGCCCAGGACAACCAGGGGAAAAAGTCTCCAACCACAAAATCTGATCCATTGGCTGGGCAGGCTGTTTGGCCTCTGATTTGCACCTAGAGGACCCCGCGGGGTCCCGGCGCTGCTCAGGCCAGCATCTGGGGAGCTGTGGCTGGCGCTTGGCCATGCTCGGCTGCTGAGTGCGCCTCACTAACTATCATTCCACTCTTCCAGGTCAATGATGCTGTAGGAGGGGACTGGCCCTGGATCTATTTTGTTACACTAATCATCATAGGGTCATTTTTTGTACTTAACTTGGTTCTCGGTGTTCTTAGCGGGTAAGCAAGACCAAGGAAAAAGGTCTTGATTTTTCCTTTTATTTTTATTCTTTTGGCTATTCCTGGCTCTATTCCTTTTCTGGCTCTGATGAACCTGGGATAAGGGGTCACCTTGGGAGCCTTGAAGTGGATGTCCTTGGCCTGGCTGGGTAAAGGGTCAAATGTACAAGCATTAATCCATTGGTTTGGGTGGTAGACAATGGAGAAGACGTGCCTTGTCCCACCTGTCTCCTGCCAGCTCACCCAACCCCTCCCAGCCTCGAGTAGTTATCTGAGAAGGTAGAATACTGTCCTCGTGCCTTAGTGACCCCAGCTGCAGGAGCAGCGTGGGGAGACTCTGGAGTGAGAAGGCTTTGGCAGGAGGAATCTGAGGGAGGATTCATGGACTGTGTGCCTTGCCTGTTCTCTGGAGCCAGTCACAATTTGTGGCAGGCTAATAGCAGAGATTTCAGATCACTTTTATTCAGTGGCGAGCAGGCCAGGGTAAAAAGTTTGTTTTAAAATATAAACAAACAGACTAAAAACCTACTTCAGTTCTAATTCCTAGGCTGAGTTGTCCATCTCTAGCATTTGCTTTTCTGAATGGAAAAGGCACTTGACTGTTTAAAGCTACAGATTATTTGAAAATAGAGGAGATGGAATATACTTTCCTTAAATTTACCCAGCTGACTACCAGTATGAAATCAACCAAATTTGGCCCTTGCTCAGAAGAAGTTAAAAGCGACAGAGCAGCATGTAGCCGGAGCACTGAGCAGCTGGGGATGGCCACTGTCCACCACACAGATGCTGGGACGCTTCCTCAGCTCACTCTCACCTTCATAGGTCCAGCCAGCCATGCCAAGGCCTGACACCTGAATGCTCCTGATGGCCTGCTCATGGGTGCCCACTCTGCTGCCTTTGCTGCGTGGGGGAGGGGGTAATCTATTTCTGCTCTGCTTGAGACAGGTCAGCTGCTTTGAATAGTCTTTTCTAAATATCTGGGGACGTTAATGCTGGGGGAAGCTTAGGCATAGGGAGGGAGATTGCTCTTTATTTTCACTCAGAACATAAACTGGGACCAGCCGCCCCTTCCCACAGCAGCCTGATGCACTGGGGCTGGGTGGAGGACAGCACCTGACCCTGGCCCCATTCCTCCCATGGCAGCGGCCTGTTAGAGGCCTTGATGACATCATGCTTCTCGCCACAGTGAGGCCACACAGGAGACTAGGGCCATCCATCAGGGATTGAAAATGAGTAGAACACTATAAGCCCCTAATTAGTTGCCTGGAAGGTCGAGTGGTTTTTATTTTAATGTTCCAACACAAGAAAATGCCCATGTATACATGTGAATCTCCAAGGAAAGCATTGAAAAAATCTACTTCATGCCCCCACTCAAGACAGACGTGTGGGTGTCCCAGCTCTGCACTTGCTGGATGCGTGATGCTGGGCGACTTCGCCTTTTTAAATCTTAGTTTCCCCATCTGAAAAATGAAGATGATAATACCAACTCATACATGGTTGTGAGGATAGAATGAGATCGCTTATGTAAAATTCTTAACATAGTGACCGGTCGATAGTAAGTGCTTAAAAATAGTGCTGTCATTGCGGTGATTATTGTTTACTTGGTGCCTATCATAACTGGAATTACTGAATAGAATAATCAAACGTGAGAACTATTCCAGCCTCTCCTTTTAAAGTTGAGGAACGTGAGCCAGGCCATTGGTGACTTGTGCGATGTCAGTTCACTGGTAAACAACCAACCAGGACCAGATTGTGGGCACCAGCTGGCTCCCATCCTCCCATCACTTCCTGTCAGGTGTATGTTGATGAGCTGCAACTATAACACAAGCCAGAGTTCTAAACCTTTAAAAAGTGTAATTCCACTGTCTTCCTGCAGAGGCTAGGAACCAAATCTGAGCAATCTTAGGAACCTAAAGTGAAAAATGAGGGCCAGACTGTGAGGACCCCTCAAGCAGAGTTCTGCCCACAGTCACGCTTGGCCCCCAGAAGAGTCATCTTCCTGGTTGTCTCAAGGCAGAGAAGTCAAATGACAGTGGCTGTGGACGTTAGCGAAAACATCATTTTGAAGGCCATGTCTTGGCCTGATTCAGTCCAAACACCTCAGCCAAAACCTGGTGCTTAGTAGTACTCAAAACTGCTAGATGGCTCAGCGCAGGAACATTAAGTCTATTTGACCTCCGAACTGTGAGTCCCTGAGTCCATACTTCAGTCTTTCCTGGACACCCTCCCTACCACCTGCTCCCTGACCCATTCCCAGACCTGCAGTCTGCTTCTTTGCAGCTCCAGAGTCACTGATAGACCCTCCATGCAACAAAGAAGTATCTATGGGCGGGCATCTCCCCTTCCTGGTTTAAGGAGGTCTCTCTAAATGTGTTGAGGGCTGGCCACTCTGAATGGGCTGCCCCTGTCCTGTGCGGTGAAGAAACTGGAATCAGGCTTCTGTCGGCTGACCACACGGTGTCAAGTCAGCATCTTCATTAGCTAGGACAATGTAACAGTCACCACAAGAATGCAGTAAACCCACTTACTCATCAGGCAGACTTCTGATAAAGCCAGCCTTCAAGAAGCATTCACAGAAGTCTTGGCTCCATGAAATTCGCTGTCACCGTGATGGCACAGTCATTGCTATTCTCTGTGTCAGGTTCTGGGCTCTTGCTTCAGGTAGATCAGCTCATTTAATGTTCCCAACAACTCTGTGAGCTGAGTACTGTTCACATCTCCATTCCAGAGAAGAAAAGCAAGGCTTAGAAGAGAAAACTATCTCAATTCTAACAGGTGAAAAATGGAGGATCCTGGGTTGAGCCCAAGCAGTGTGAATCCACAGCCTCTATCCCTGTTCCCCAAGCCATTTTAAATGGCTAGCCCCACGTTCTTAAATTACAGTAGAACAGTTGGGGGGTGGACAGCGGAGCTGCAGCGGGAGGGATGAGGGGAGCAGGAGTCTGCAGAGCAGTCCAGGGCAGGCTGCTGGACACAGCCAGTGGATACAGCACATGCCCAGGAGGAAGCTGCAAAGGCACCAGCAAAAGACTGCTGCAGGGCAAGGTTTTTAGCATGGGGGCTGGCAGCCCCGCAGATCCTGATGGTCCTTGAGGGAGACCAGAGCCACCAACTAAACAGCACTGCAGGCTCAGAGCTGCAGGACTGGGAGGAGGGGTGTGAAACCCCACATCTGTCAATTAAGGATAATATTATTTAAAGCCCAGCACAGTAACTCATCCTCATAAATTATATCCTTCAGTCACCATGGAAAGATTAAATTGTGCCTGCTGTGCTCCACCCATGAAGGTAGAGAGGATGACACTCTTTAGAGTTTTCATTCAAGTAGAAATTCAAAGATTTTGGTCAACAGAGTGTTAGGTTTCCTTTATGTACAACATTCTCATATCCAGAACACCTTATTTCTGATGAGGCCAGATGGAGTCAGTGTAGAGAATACATGTCTCTTGGATTTTTTCAAAATACTTCCAGGTTAATTATTGGTCCTCACATCAACCCTATGCAAGTCATAGGACAGATATTAGTATAGAAAAGAATCAGATTAAACTTACTTTCCCCTCCAGAAATCTCAATCTCCAGCCTATTAGAATTAAAATGACAACAGTGACAGTGAGATTCATGAAATTGCACTTGAGACTATAATCAGGTGGAAGCCTCTGGACTTTGGAATCTGATTACTTTTGTTTTTAAGTGATTGCAAACGTGGACTTTCAAATGTGGGCCTTAAGCTGGCAGGAGGCCCAGGATCTCTTACACGGTTACTCATCCCATCTTTTTTCCGTCTGGGAGGTATCTTGCCCCCAAAAGCAAAGGACCTGGTGGGTAAGCATTTTGCAACCTGGAAGTGGACGAGCACACCACAGTTAAGACATGACATCCAGGTCCAGAAGAAAGCAGTGAATGGCCAGGACACAAGTGCTTGGTGAGTGGAAACAGAAGATATGGCAACATGTACAGGCCACACTATATTCATGACGATTGTGTTCTGTGAAGTCACCATGAATGCTGAATTAGTGAATATTGAACTACTGATCCTAAGGGAAATATAGGATTAGGTTCCTGTGAGCCTCTGGTCACAACAATATGTCAACCAACCAATAAGAACCTTGTTTTATGTGTGGTTCTGTTTAAAGACACCTTACTTAATGTCTGTCACTGATTCATTAATGTTAAACTCATGGCCAACAGCACTATCGCTCATGCCTGAACAGAGCTTCTCTAACACGTTTTCTCCGTAAGGCACATCACAGCCTTCTTGCACTTAGGAACACTGGACAGTACTTCAGCACTATATGTGGGACCATTGTAAACAGCAAAACCACCAACAAAGAACACAAAAATGCAAAAACATGGCGCTAAATAGTCTGTGAAAAGGACACTTGCTTATGGTACAAGAGCTGAAGCAAGAAGGCTGAGCGTCACCTCACCTGCCCTCTGTTGGGAGCATGTGAAGTTCCTGCCATTCTGTGCATATCCACAAACGAGTGAAAGTGCTACCAGTACTGATTTTGGGGTGACAAATGAATTTCAGCAAGCGGGTAAATTCGTAAACGTGAAATCCGCAAACAATGAGGATCAGTTGTATTGATTAGCAGAGGTCCTAGGGCCCCGGTGGTCTGCGCTGGCTGAATTTGCCACGTGTACCTCCTTTGTACCCTTTACATCACTGAGTGCCAGCCCCTGTCTCTCCACTGCACCCCTCATTTTTCATGTTGGCCATTGCTGGCAAGAGATGCACTCCTGTCTTGTGACAAATCCCGCAGCTGTGACTGATTGTCTAGCCAGCTCCAGTCCCTGGGCCCAGTGCAGCCCATCAGGCTGGGGCTTCGTGTCTTCATTAGCCCAGTCCCCAGAGCAGACACATGGCTGACTTCCAGGCCAGGAGATAAAGAGAGCCAGGCACTGCCACTCAGCAAATTACTCACCTCATGGGATCTGCTGGGGGGAATCTTGGCTCACCTTCCCTCCTTCCACAACCCTGTTCTGCCTGTGCCCATGGGAGCCAGAGGGAGCCAGCAGCACTTCAGATCTGACTGTGCCATTTGTCTGTCCCCACAGCCCCCAGAACACATCCTTCCTCCACAGAGAAGAATCATCGACACACTTCTTTTTTCTTCTCTCCCTGTGGATGATTTTTTTAGTCCCCAGAGGTCCTGGAGTACAGATGAGCTTTCACTTCATAGGCAGATGCTGTAAACAGGACTGGGCAATTGTTGCTACTCCAGTTGGATCCCGGTCCTCTTCTCCCTCCTCCAAAAGAAGGATGGGTGGGTGTTTTGTAAACAGAATGTGAATCCTCTGCAAAAGCATCCCAAAGAGCTAACATGAGCCCTCAGCTACTCAGTCCCTTACAAACTCAGACCCATCCAGAGGAGAGGGACAGAGACTGCAAATGGGTGTGGGCAGAAAGATGTCAGAAGAGGGGCCTTGAAGTGCAGGTTTTGGAGTTGATTTGTAGCCTCCATATGTGGCAGTGGGTGAGGAGCTGAGACTTTGTCCCCCTGTAGGTGGTTGGTTCTGTCCTTCCTTCCATGGCACCTTTTCTCCGGAGAGCAAGACCAGGGTTCAGGGGCAGGGGGGCATCTTTTCACAGCCATTCCCAGCAGTGAGAGCAGGGAGGAAGCAGAGAAACACACGCTTTCATCTTCATTATGAGCTGTCAGTCCTGCCCCTTTTCCCTGGCATGAAACTCCCTGGGAAGGAAATGAAGGTACCTGCTGGTTGGCAGGGAGCCCAAGAAATAGCAAGTTCAATCCAATTAGAATTGGATTCAATCAAATTTAAGAAGAAAATTCAATCCAAACCAGAGCATCGTTAAGGCAGCAGTTGAAGAGAACTCATTAGCTTGACAACCACCACATTCTCCCAATTTAAAAGTTCCCCAGACCCCTCCCCAGCCCCAACCCATTTGACCATAAAAATAGTGAGTGCTAAAATCTGGGCTCTCCTCAGGGGCACAGGCAAAATGTAAGCACTTCAGCATATGCAGTGACAGAGCCACCCTATATGGCAGTGGATGAGGAGCTGAGACTTTGTCCCCCTGTAGGTGGTTGGTTCTGTCCTTCCTTCCATGGCACCTTTTGTGGAGAGTATTTGGCTTGTATGAGAAGTTCCTTCAAGGTAGGTTCAGCAGACTCTTTACCTGAACCAGGCCTTCCCTGGTGAAAGAGGAATCGTGGTTCCAACAGTTAACCAAGATGCCCAGTGCACATAAACATACATGCACATGGACACACACCATCACCACCACCATTCTATGGGCCACATTTCCCATAGAATGCATATAAAAGACAAAATTACTCCTATCTACCTGTTTTGAAAGAAAAGGCACAGACTTGCTTTGGGAGTTTAGAACTAGCCTTGTTGATTATTGCTTCTGTGGCCAGCCCCCTCCTTGCTCAGAAAGTGAATTCCAAGTCAGAAAGAAAATAAGGTCAGAATCATAGAAAAGAATAGCCATTCTGTAAGAAATTTTTCAATAGGCTCTTCTTCCAGCAAATCCCAATCCAATTCCAATCTCTACTCATTATTACTTTAAACTGAAGCATCATTTAACTTCTATATCATCTTAGATTTTGTGTATTTTTCTCTTCTGATTGGATTTTTTTAAACCAAAGGGCAGCCCCCAGGGCATTCTCTTGTGTTTGGAATCCTCATTTGTCACCACTTGGGAAAGGTCCTTCTGTAAATTAGAAATCTTTCCAGGCATGCTAAAAGCAGCAGATTGAACTCTAGTAATGAGAATAGAGATTGAGGAGATTAAATAACCCCAAGTCCTGAATCAGTGGTATACTGGTAAATATTTATCAATCAGCTCTTGGCAGGGGGCGGGGGAGGAGGGTGCGAGGGAAGCCCTAGTTGATAGCATCTGCCAATTTTCATGGTGTAAATATTCCCACTGTGGCTGATCTCAAGCTACCATTGAGATACCCCTGAAGCTGGAGCTGGGGAGGGACATGCACCATTGGCCCTCAGGACTGAGTGGGCTTTGGCACACCACTGGCCCCAACGCTTATGTTGCCCAGAGACCTCTGTAAAATGTTTTAATTGCCTCCCAATACTGGGTAGAAAAAGTGCATGTTTCATAACTATTGTGGAGGGCTTTTTAGTTACTGTTTAGAAGGAGTTTCCAGGTCTTTGGAGAACAGTTGTTTTTATCATGATCCAGAAAACAGGGAAATGGGCTTTATTCTCCCCCTTAGACTCTGGTGGCCTATAACAAGAATGTCCCCTTCAGTGACTCTTCCCTCCTTCTTTGTGGGCTGTCTGGAAAGTAGGGGCATGTGGGCAGGTTTCTCTGTGCAAAGCGACTAATACTTTCGTTCTCCTTATCTTACCTCTCCTCCCATGCCTGGCCCTTTCCCTGTTCCCTTCCTTCTCTGTGCCTGCCTGCCCGGCCCACCCCTCTCTCTCTCACCAGAGAGTTTTCCAAAGAGAGGGAGAAGGCCAAGGCTCGGGGAGACTTCCAGAAGCTGCGAGAGAAGCAGCAGCTGGAGGAGGACCTCAAAGGCTACCTGGACTGGATCACTCAGGCAGAAGACATCGACCCTGAGAATGAGGATGAAGGCATGGATGAGGAGAAGCCCCGAAACAGTAAGAGGCCGGCTTCTGTCTTGGGCTGGGTTCTGGGAGAGAGGAGACCACATCGAGGTCAGCAGAACACCGTCACCACCAGCTTCCTTTACAGCCCCCTGTTTGTCTTCTGGGGCAACATTTGTCTCGGTAGCAATCATTCTCACAGAAGTTAGTCACAGATACAGCTGTTGTTGATCTATAAACTTCATATTCCTTTTAGAATCTTTGACCTTAAAAGACAGTTGAGATTTTACTAAGGGGAAGTCTTTTTTTAAAATCAGACACGCTCCTCCTTCAGGCTGTGTCTCTTTGGGCAGAGGAGCAGGCTTCCGGCTATGGGCTTGTTTGAAAGGAATAATTCCACCAAGCAGCTACTGGAAAAATGTATATCTGCATTGAATTCTCTCCCCTTTTGCAGTAGACTTGCAGGCATCACTGAGCTTTCTCATAGGAAAGGAAGTCAAAGGTTTCTCTTCAGGAGGTTAGATTCAAAGGTCTGAGGAAATGCTAAGTGGGAGGGTTGAGGGAGGCCCAGAGGAATTTGGCAGAATACATTTAGATTAAAGAAATTGAGCCAGATCCCTTCCTCTGGGGTTTCATGTGGCAGACTGCAGATATAGAAATGGGAGTGAAAGAGGACACTGATTACAAGTGTGTGAAAGATGGTGAATCATGGAAATTCAGATCTCATCCGACTAGCGCAGTCGTTCTCAAAGTGTTGCCCCTGGAGCAGCAGCACCTGAAGCTCCTGCGAAAGTCGCTAAAATACGAAGTCTTGGGCCCCATCCTGGCCTACTGACTCAGAAACCCTGGGGGCTGGACCCAAAAATCTGTGTTTGAACAGTTCCCCATGTGATTGTGATGCATGGTAAATTTGAGAACCTTTGTGTTAGCTCTGACTACTCTGTGTATCTCATTTGGCCTTGATCTCTGTGACTCTAACCACACTCTTTCCTCCTCTTTCTGTGTGCAATATCTTTCTCTTTCATTTAAATTTTTTTTTTTTTGAATAGGTGCATTTCTGTCCTCTTAAGCAGTCTAACTCTTAAAAACAGGTTTCTAAACATTGAGCATCTAAAGTAGTCAAGGAACCAAACAGTTAAAGAGCCACCCAGGGTGTTTGCTGCATGGCGTCATGCAGGTAAGGGCAGGAAGCCAGGAATTCTCCCTAAGCAGAGAGGGAGAGGAGAAGACCCACCAAGAGAAGGAACAGGTGGAGGAGGAAGGGAAGAAGACAGCTAACAGAGAAAGATGTTAACAGAGAACAGAATTTCTGCTCCCTTATTTCAAAGATTGATTAATAAATCCATCAACTATTCCCTTTCTGATAGCTCTGCTCAATGTGCAAATACAAAATAAAAGCACGCTAACAACAAGGGACTGTAAACAACATAATCTAATAATCTAAGAAGGCCTTCACGCTCTACTAAGTAGTTTTGTAAGTTAGAAGATGGGGTCTTTGATGGATTATAACAATGAGCAATGATGCCATTGAGGTTCTTTCTGGAAGAATGCCTGACAGCATCTATTACACTGTTGATGGAACTGCAGAATGGCTAATTAGTTTGTGACACTGAATAGTATGGTAAATAAATTGGCCTGTGAGCCACAGAGAAACTTACCTCTAAAACTCAGGAATTGGTACCTTGGCTCCTCAGTCCACCCTAAGTCAGAGTGAAGCTCCCAGCTCGTGATTGATAGTGATGAGCATTTTTTTTAGTACGGGCTATGAAAAACGTGCCATATCCACTGCTTGCCTGGCAACCAGTTGCCATCCACAGAGACACATAGTTATTCTGTTCTCTGCCTAAAGCAAGAGCTTCCAGGGGAAGCGTGCTGCTTCTCCCCTTGCCCAGGAAATGAGTAAATTCCAGGGAGCATTCCCAGCATGGAGCATCCTTTACTGCAGGAGCAGATCACGTTTATAAAGCCCATCTACACAAATTCTGGCCACACTTTAAGAAGAGCATAATGAACTGTCTACCCCCAAAGCGAGAGTCTCTGCCAAGATTTCTATAAGTCCAAATATGGATGAAATCAGACTCAGGAGGCTGTGTTCCTCTCACCTTGTACTGCTTCTTGTCCTCAGCCAACCCTGTCCTAGGAGGGCTGGAATGGGAGCCTGGCTCCTTCATTAGTGGAAACGTGGGTGGAACAGCTCCAGGGGGATGGAGAAAGTGAATGACTATCCAAAAAAGCAAGGGATAGAGAGATAAATAGATACATGCGGTGAAATAGCATGTGAGAGGCTTAGGACAGGAGCCAGGAAAAGGGTCCAAAAGACTGTGTCTATTGGGGAAGTCCAATTAAAAGTACAGTTGATGTGATTACGTTATTAAGGAATTGGAGGCCTAATAGACTTGTACATCAGGCAAGTCTGGCTCAGAAACTTTATATTCTTGTCTTCAGAACTTCAAAGTTTGCCCTTTGAAACAAAGAGAAGGGGAGAGATCCTGCTACAGATTTTGTATGTGTATTTCAATTAGTGTGGTATCTTAGCCTCTGAAATTTTAAAAAGATTACAGCATGGTATATTTTCCAGTTCTTTTCAGCTCAAAAACTAAGTAGTCTCTTCAGAAAGAAGGTGTGGTCACTCCTCACCAGTGGCTCTGGTGACTGTGTTTACCCTGGGCAGTGTCCCTGTCTGCACATACCAGACGCCACTGGTGAGAGATGCTGGTGAGACAAAGCTGGTGCCGGCCAGGAGCAGCTCAAAGACACATCATCCATGTAGCTGAGCTCCGCTGAGGAGAGCCCAGTTACTCAGTTTTCCCAGAAAAAGCTACAAAAGCCACTGGAGGAAGTGGAAGAAACCGGGGCTGGGAAGATAACAAAGAGAAGATGCATGGTTGGGAGGTATTTCTGTAAATAATGAGAGTAAATGAAGTGGCCGGTCAATTGTGTACAAAAATGTATTCCAGTTCATCCATCTGTCCATCCATCTATTTATTCACAGATGAAAGGTCTACTCCCTCTTCTAGGCACTGGTGTTATAGCAGTGAACAACGTAGTCAAAATCCCTGCCCTCATGGAACTTATATTTTAGTGGGGAGACGGACAAAACTTACGCAGTGTGTCAGAGAGTGGCGAGGGCCATGGAGAGAGGTGGAACAGTGAATGCGGATGGAAGTGTTGAGAGGTGGTAATTTTAGATGGGGGCAGGAAATATCTCACTGAGAAGGTGGCATTTGAATAAAGACTTGAAGGTGGTTGGAAATGAACCACAGAGATGTTTGGGAAAAGAGCATTTTTGGCAGAGGTAAGATAAGGAAAGGCCCTGACGCAGGAGCACACGGCTGATGCACCTGGGGAGGAGTGAATAAGGGAAGCGGTAGGAGGTGAGGTCCGTGTTCACTAGGGAGGATGTCGTGTATATTCTTGTAAGAACTTGTACTTTTACTGGGAGTGGCCACCAGAGGTTCTGAGCGGAGAAGTGACACAATCTGGTATACATTTACCAGGACCCTCTGGCTGCCATGTCGGGATGGGATGAAGGCGGGTGAGGCAGGCCCAGTGGGGAGACTGCTTTCTGGGGAGACACCAGTGGGGGTGATGAGGTCAGACCTCAGCCTGGCATCATTTGCTACATGTCAGGTACGGGATGTGAGGGAGAGGGACATCAGGGGTTGTCCCGAGCGATCGTAAGACTGGAACTATCATCTGTTGTTACAGGGAAGACTAGGAGAAGAGCAGGTGTCAGGGCGGGAGTTCCAGGAAAGCCATCTCAGACCTTTAAGTTTGAAATGCCTGCGGGACACCCTAGTGGAGATGTTGAGTAGACAACTGGGAGTGGATCTGAGTCCATCGGAGAGATTGGGCTGAATTATAACTTGGGGCACCAACAGCCCACAGACAGGACTTAAACCTGTTTGTCTGAGTGAGGTCACTTGGGAGTAAGTGTGGACAGAAATGGACGAGGTCCAAGAACTGAGACCTGGGCCCTCCGGTGTCTGGAGATGGGGGTGATGAGCAGGAACAGCAAAGAGACTTTGACTGGTGTGGCCAGTGGAGCAGGAGGGACAGCAGAGGAAGGGGTGTGCCACCACTGCTGGCCGGTCAGGCAGGTAGGGTTGGAAACCAAGCGTTAGAGCCGGCAGCACAGGGCACTGGGCCCTCATGGGGCCGTTTGGGGAAGGTTAGGGGTGAAAGCTGATGGCAGAGCTGAGTCTTAGTCTGTGAGTCTCTCGAGTCCATGCACCTCCTAGAACAGCATTAAGCACTGCTCTGTAGGCCTCCTGTTCTGTTGGCATGGCCTAGCTGCTGGCCATTAAGAAAACGGAGCAGGCAGAAGAGGAGACTCATGTATCCACACAGCATGCCTGTGGCCCTAAGGAGGTCAGTGTCCCCACCCACAGCCACGTCAGTACTAGGCACTGCCTCTGCAGCTAGTTATAGACAGCCCAGGGAAAAGGACACTTCCCTGTGTCCCCATCCACAGCCACATCAGTACTAGGCATTACCTCTGCAGCTGGTTACAGGCAGCCTGGGGAAAAGGAGGACATGATATCCAAGGGACAAAAAGGCAGAACAGAGGCAAGAAAGGGGTATGTTTATACAGTGCTGCCCTGTTTGCAGCTTCCAAGGTGGGGCAGCCACATGTGCCTTCTGGGTCACACCTAGGGTAATGTTGAAGTCTCACCACTATAGGGACTGCTTGTCCTCTCCCTCTGAGCAGCCATGAGCCCCCCTTGAAGGCACCAATTGAAGAACTATCACTACCACACAGGGTTCGTTGTCATCAGTAGAGATGCACTGCTTCAAGGGACAGGGTCTGCTTTCCAGCTCCAATGTCAAATCTGATAGGAGGCCAGATGCTAGAGGCAGAAGCCATAAAGAACGAGATAGAGGGGCCGGCCCGGTGGCACACTGCTGCAGTGCGCCGCTTGGGAAGTGCAGCGGCGCTCCCGCCGAGGGTTCGGATCCCACATACAGACCGGCCGCTCACTGGCTGAGCGAGGTCACCAAGGGTTGCGATCCCGTAGCTGGTCCCGGTCCGGTACAGGCGCGACACTGAGGGT